TGTGGTGGGGCCACGTGTATTTGGCCCCACCAATTTTGGTTTAGCGATTAGGACAAAAATATAAGGTTGCAAATTTTTTTTTACCGGTTGCCTAAAGTTGCAAATTAGTTGCAAAATGTTGCAAAATTTTGGTGTATTTATCATAACATGGTGGGGCCAAATTCACGTACGTATAAAAATGATGGTTAATAGTTTTGATTAATAACAATATTTGATTTAATAACAATTATAATAGTACTTAATAATTAGAATCTCCATTTTATATTGACCAGTATATTTAATTTTCGTTATATTACCTATCATAAAACAGTATATCTGTGGCTTTTGGTATAATCGTTATATACCTAGCCAAATCCATACATATTGGATTTGTTAGATCTCTTTCCAATACCATATCAGTTACAAACCTTTTTACACATTTTATCATATCCAAAACCTCTCTGCTTTCGTATGGTACCAGTATTGCATTATTAGCAGAAATTATATGATAATCAAAGCATTCCGTAAAGTTATACCATTCTCCTTGTTCTGAGTTCGTGTGTGTCTGGATTGCTATACTAATGTTAAGTTCTTGTAATAACTGTTCATTCCTATCCATTTTAGATTACTGTTCCCTATAATATTAAAATGTTGTTATTTGCAATTTTGAATTTTGAAGCTTTTAAATGTTTAAAAATGTTTAATTAAATTTTCATATTTATAATTCAGCACGACGGAATCAAAAATACGTTTTGTGTATATGACATCCGTTCGTGGGTCGTGTGCATGTGTAACTTTGTGTTTTTTCCTGCAAATTAAGTTATGTGCCTCTGTAAGATTTAAGGTTCTCCCTGATTTATCACAAGTACATACTTCTATTTCAAAAATTGTCGTTTTAGGGTTTACTGTCTCCAATCGCATATAAAATTGCTTATTAAAGTATTTATCATAACAAGTTAAATTTAATATAGGAAAATCCGTTATTCCTAATCTTTTGAGAATGACCTTATCAGAACTACCTTCCCATACAACTAACACATTAATCTTGTCACCACGCCGTATATAGTTTCGTATATAGGTCTCATTCAAACTATTTACTGGGGCTCTTAGACTTTGGTTCAGTTGTTCCAAACAAATGTCTCGCAATTCTGTTTTTGCTTTAAAAATTCGAGACAACACTCTTTGTGCAACTAACACTTCACGGTCTTTCATCGGTCGTACTTCCCCGTCTTCTGGTGAGTATAATGGTCTTCCTTCTAACTTCCTTATTTTAAATCGGTCCAAGCTATTCGAAATAGCTCCTGATATGAGGACTTTACTGGTTTTATGAATATTGGTAAATTCAAAATCCAATATCACGAATTTGTGGGTATTCTCTCTATATACAAATATGAATATTTAAATTAATTATACATTTACTATTTATAGATTACAATTTAGTTATTTTATTATTTATCTATCTATTATTGCTGGTAAGTTAGCAGAATTAGTACTTATATTCCTATCAATAGTATCTGAAAATGAGGATTCTTGTATGTTTTTATCACCTTCCTCATACGACTTACGTTGCACTATCGGTCCTTGCAAATTGTATGGAATACTTCCTTTATTCATTGGTTCATAAATGGTCTGTCTGAAAAACTTACTTTTACTTACTGGCTCCTCGATAGGTCTTACTCTTATGGAGCGTGTACCTCTCAAGTTTTTAGTGTACACGTACATTACGTACAATAATAAAATCAATATTAATGAAAATAACAATAAGCCTAATAAAACATAGATTAAATTTGGTTTAGTTTGATCTGCATTCCCGTATTGCCTATCCATTTCTTTGTCTACCATTAATTGTATGTCATTCAATGAATGAGCTAATTCATGGACGTTATCCAGTCTTAATAAATCATGCTTTTGGGTATATTTTGGTATTGTCAATGAATTTAGTTTAGGAACTTTTAATGCTAAACTCCCTATTCCTAATTTAGGTATGTAGTTGACGTAATTCTTTGACTTAATTTCTCTGGTAGGGTTCAAGACTATGTCGCTAGCATAAGCTCGACATTCTTGTGTTAAATTTATCAAACCTTGATTTCGCAATTTTACTATAATATGTGGTTCCTGTTCCCCTTGACACGTTATTGTCAATGTGTCGCTAGTAGTGGAATAAATCCATGTATTTGCGTACTTTAGTTTATGGTAATTGCTCTTCGATATTAGTATGATTCCTGCTTCACAGTTATTGGGTAATAATTCCGGATTTTTTAATAATGAAATTTCACATGGTTGTCTTACCGACTCATGTTGTATTGGTTGAAATTCTGGACATAGGTTGAAAATTTCGGTTTCGGTACAGCTTAGTAATTCTGTCTCGGTGAACGTTGTGAATTGTCTCCTATTCCTAGTTATGCCTACATACTGGAATTCTGGTTTTAGTATTATACTATGATTGAAATTAATGTTGTGTGGAATTGGAATTATTTTAAATAATGTTAATTCGAGTTCAGTTACTAAAGATATTTTGATTAAGAAAACTATTTGACTTCCACTATAGTATACGGCCATTTTTGTTATTTTGCTCTAATTTCAACTCATAAATTTCATTTGGTTGGGTTCCCATAGGTAAATTTAATTTAATTTGCGTCAATTGTTTTGACAGTTCCCTAGAGGTTACTAAACTTGGATGTAGAATTCCTGTTCTACCTGCTGTAATTATAGCACTTATGGTTGTGGTTTCGTAAGAAAATTGAGTAATTAAAGCGGTAAAAATATTATGTATTCTGTTGCTAATAATCATTGTTTCAATGGTATGTGTGTGATTAGCGGCTTCATTTAATTTCTTATAAATTTCGACCTGTTTCTTTCCTAATTCAATGTATAAATTATTCATTTCGGTAGAGGTATTCCCTATTCCTTGTACTACTGACTTTACTACAGTGGTCTGTTTTTTTAAAATGTGCAACATATTTTCATTACTGGTTTCTATTTTCTCAATGTTACTATTAGTTTCTTTTGAAGTTATACTTCTTTACGCAGGGTAGTGAGGAAAAAAAAAAGCGAACGGGCGGCGCGTACGAACGGGCGGCCGTACGAACGCGAAAGCGTACATGTCCGTAAATAAATAAATGTTGTCATGGTAGTGTTGTTATATTATATATTATTATTTATTAATATATATATATATATATATATATATATATATATATATATATTATATATTATATATTATAATCGGGCCACGTCAATATGACATGATAATAATATTACGTATTATAAAATATATAATGTTGGTCGGTGACAGCCACAGATATATATTTTATATCTGTGGTGACAGCCGATGAGGTTTCGACGACGATGATAATAATATCATCCGTGGTGGCTAAGTTGTACACGTATCTATTGTGCTTTTAGCCATTGTTAATATAATAATATTGTTATTAAGTGTTAAGTAGTCCTATTTTAATATTTTAAATTTTAATGGTTACTTTGATTTTTAATATTAATATTTAATCCAAAAGAGAAACAAGCGTTGCGAGGTAAGTGGTGGTCGTTAATATTATATAAACGTTGTAAAATAAAAAACAGATTCATCTATCTTGGCCCATACTAATTAATATGAATAATTAATGATCGATTATTATTTATTTTTATTATTATTATTATTATTATTTTTTTTAAATTAATTAATATTTTTTTTCGTAGTTTATCCCCTGAATTTTCATCATTATTACTATCATTATTTTATTATTATTATTATAAATAGCACATAATCGGATGAAAAATATGAAATGGCAAGAAATGGCAGAACGAATTCCAAACATTGAGAATATTGAGGATTCAGGCAAACCATGTGTGTTACCAGTACGCGCACGGGAAGTTAAACTTCTTTTGAATGGTACACGTGAGTGAGTGAAAAAGAAAGAAAAAAATATTAATTAATTTAAAAAATGAGTAGAAGTATCCGGAATTATTTATTATTGATAGTTTTATTATTATTTTTATATTTTTATTCGACAGATCGATGGGTAATTGTTTGTAGTATTGTTTTTATCCAGACAATAGATTTGTGAGTGAATACTAATAATAATAATAAAAATAAATAATAATCGATCATTAATTATTCATATAACAAATTTGGTTGCTCGTAAAAAATCACAACTCTTAAAAAAATTATGATTGTTGAACTCCTTTTGGGTGTAACTTGCTGGGGTAAGTGCAACTCAGCCACTCTGGTAGGCAATGTTCAATAATTTGATTTGATGCAAGCTTGTACCTGATCTGCCCGAATAACCAATGGCAACCAATAAATAAATGCTAATTTCTAATGTAGACTGTAACCAATGGTAACTATTAATAAATAAAAATAAAATTTCCAATTTCTATCTTAAATACCAGTACGCGCGCGGGAAGTTAAACTTCTTTTGAATGGTACACGTGAGTGAGTGAAAAAGAAAGAAAAAATATTAATTAATTTAAAAAATGAGAAGAAGTATCCGGAATTATTTATTATTGATAGTTTTATTATTATTTTTATATTTTTATTCGACAGATCGATGGGTAATTGTTTGTAGTATTGTTTTTATCCAGACAATAGATTTGTGAGTGAATACTAATAATAATAATAAAAATAAATAATAATTGATCATTAATTATTCATATAACAAATTTGGTTGCTCGTAAAAAATCACAACTCTTAAAAAAATTATGATTGTTGAACTCCTTTTGGGTGTAACTTGCTGGGGTAAGTGCAACTCAGCCACTCTGGTAGGCAATGTTCAATAATTTGATTTGATGCAAGCTTGTACCTGATCTGCCCGAATAACCAATGGCAACCAATAAATAAATGGTAATTTCTAATGTAGACTGTAACCAATGGTAACTATTAATAAATAAAAATAAAATTTCCAATTTCTATCTTGAATCTCAATGTCCCTGTTTGAGCACCTATTTAAAATGCGAATTTCGAAAAATCCTTAACTTATTTTTAACTTGGAAATAAACATTAAAATGTTGATAAATTAAGTCTTATGGATCATCTAACCGTGGTTCAAGCTGAAGTTTATCAGCCGTGTTCTCCAGCACCATCAACGAGTCAAGATGATAGAGTATCGGTAACACCTGCACGTGTAACGGAGGGTGAACGTTTACGAAATTATCGTGCTAAAAAAAAAGAGCAGAAACTTCAAAATAATCATTCCGATGCGATATTAACACTCTCCCCGGTACCGTTAACAAATGCTGAGCGTTCAAAAAATTACCGTGAAAGACAAAAACAAAAGGAACTTGGAAATAAACTTGATGAAATAGTAGCATCATCTACTGCACGTGTAACGGAGGCTGAACGTTTACAAAATTATCGTGCTAAAAAAATAGACAATCAACTTAAAAATAATCCCGATGCGATATTAACACCCTCCCCGGCACCGTTAACAAATGCTGAACGTGCAAAAAATTACCGTGAAAGACAAAAACAAAAGGAACTTGGAAATAAACTTGATGAAATAGTAGCATCATCTCCTGCACGTGTAACAGAAGCTGAACGTTTACGAAATTATCGTGCTAAAAAAATAGACCAACAACTTCAAAATAATCCCGATGCGATATTAACACTCTCCCCGGTACCGTTAACAAATGCTGAGCGTGCAAAAAATTACCGTGAAAGACAAAAACAAAAAGAACTTGGAAATAATCTTGATGAAATAGTAGCATCATCTACTGCACGTGTAACGGAGGCTGAACGTTTACAAAATTATCGTGCTAAAAAAATAGACAATCAACTTAAAAATAATCCCGATGCGATATTAACACCCTCCCCGGCACCGTTAACAAATTCTGAACGTGCAAAAAATTACCGTAAAAGACAAAAACAAAAAGAACTTGGAAATAATCTTGATGAAATAGTAGCATCATCTACTGCACGTGTAACGGAGGCTGAACGATTACACAATTATCGTGCTAAAAAAATAGACAAACAACTTAAAAATAATCCCGATGCGATATTAACACCCTCCCCGGCACCGTTAACAAATGCTGAACGTGCAAAAAATTACCGTAAAAGACAAAAACTAAACTTGGAGACTGAATCTAATAATTTCAATATTGCTGATTGCTTAGCGGCAAATCTCGAAAATAATTTAGATACAACCGATGACAACGGCTCTCAAAATAGTCTTTCTTCGGAGAACGATTCTTTCAACAGAATTTCATCTATTAATGATTATGATGACGATGACGTAGAATCTTGGCCATATCCTGATTATGGTCGTCTCAAACGAACTCACCAACACATAAAAATTACATTTTTTGATAATTCTTTTGGACATGCTTGTTCAGTGTGCGACAGATTGTGGTTCCAGCGAGATCTAAAATCTCCCTCTTCAACATATCAAACGATTTTAAATTCAATTATACCGAATATTCCAACAATTAATATATTGTTATGTTTTACATGCAGGTCATCATTGTATCGAAATAACATACCAACTATGGCTACATATAATGGCTTTAAATATCCAGAAATGCCTAATCATCTGCCACCACTGGACTTGATTTCAGAAAGACTAATTTCTCCTCGTATTCCATTCATGGCAATTCGAAGATTAAGACACTGTAATGGCCAATATGGAATTTATGGACAAATCATTAATGTACCTGTTTCTGTTGACACGATGGTCCATCATCTACCAAGAGATATTGATGACGACCATTCTATAAACGTACATATCAAACGCCGAACAACACACAAGTCTAGTTATTTACATGGCTTGGTCAAAAAAATGACCATCAAGGTTTGGTTGGATTATTTGATTCCATCTCCACTTTATAGAACTTATAATATTACAGTTAATCGTTCTTTTTTCGATGGTCAACAACAGAGTGATAGTGACATTAATCTAGATGATATTAGTGAACACATTCCAATTGAAGAGAGTCTTATTGCACAACAGCAGACATTGATGTGGAATGAAGATGAGTATCTCTGTTTGGCACCAGGTCAAGCTCAGCTTCCTCAAAGTTTGATATTTGATGAACATGCTGAGGAGCTTTCTTTTCCAGCAATTTATCTTGGTGAATTTCGGAATTTTAGAGAAGGAGTTCAGGTAAAGCCTTTTACAATGGCTTCAAGTGAGTTACGACGTTCTGATCGACGAGGCGTTAAACCACAACATTTGTTGTATATGGCGATGAAAATTATGAGGTTAAGGATTCGTGATAGCCTTACGATTGCTTTCAAACACATTGGCAAAGATACCAATATTACAAAAAAACAAATAGAAGAGGATGAATATATCAATAATTGTATTGATACAAATCTTGCTTTTTTACGATCGATCCCCAACTCAGCTTGGTACTGGGCTCACCGCAAAAATTACTTGTTTGCAATGATTCGACAGTTGGGCAAACCAACAATATTTCTTACTGTCAGCGCCAATGAAATTGGATGGACCAATTTACTTCATACAATATATAAATTGAAAAATAATGGTGTCTCAATTTCGGAAGAATTGATTGAACAGTTACATTATAATGAAAAAGCAGTGCTTATTAATGAAGATCCGGTTACTTGTGCTCTTTATTTTAACAAACTAGTTGATACATTGATGAATATCTTGTCATCACCAAAGTTTAGCCCTTTTGGTAGACATTATGTTATTCATTATTTTAAAAGGATCGAATTCCAACACAGAGGAAGTCCTCATGCACATACTTTACTATGGTTAGCAGAGGCTCCTGATTATATCATTGGTACAGAGTCTTCAAGTCTCATCGAATTAATTGATCGAGTTATTTCTGTATCAGCTAATTATGCATCGGGCCATATAAATCTACAAAAACATCATCATACGTTCACATGTTACAAAAACATTATTGGTAACAGGAAAGAATGTCGATTTGAAGCTCCATTCCTGCCAAGTCGATCAACAATTATACTATCTCCCATGCAAAAAGAAGAAGACGGATTTTCTGGTTATTTTAAACATTACAAAAACATAAAAAGTAATATTGAAAACACGGATTATCCTGATATTGACACATTCTACTTTCAAAATAATGTTAAATCAGACGATCACTATCATCACATACTTCGAGCAGGTATCAAAAGGCTTAGAGTTTTTTTGAGGCGCCAACCATCTGAAAAATGGCATAACCCATTTAATCCGTTTATTTTGAATATTATGAAATCAAACATGGATATACAATTTATTACGGACATATACTCTTGCGCTAATTATGTATCTGAATATGTCAATAAAAGCAACAGAGGTATCAGTAACCTCCAAAGAGAAATTATAAAAACAATAGATGAGCATCCAGAATTTGACATTGTCGAAATAACACGAAACCTTGGTATAAAAATGCTTAATAGTGTTGAAATGCCAAGTCAAGAAGCTGCCTGGTATCTTTTAAGAGCTCCAATGTCAAAAAGTTCTGCCGTCATTGTAACTATTCCAACAGTATGGCCATCAGAGCGAGAAAGAATAAAAAAAACAAACAAAGAATTGGAAAAAATGCAAATTGGTGATGATTCAACTGATATTTGGAAACATAATTGGTTCGACAAGTATGAACAAAGATTGAAGATTTGGAAAATATAAATTTAGCAAAATTCGTTGCAAACTATACACCTCACCCAAATGGTACTTACATAAAAAGAAAACAATCGCGGGTAATCCGTTACAGAAATTACGATATGGGAGATGATTTGAATGAATATAAAAGGGAAATGGTGACTTTGTATTGTCCTTTTCGAAACGAAGATATGGAAATCCTAGCTGAATCAAAATACATTGAAATATACGACACCAATGAAGACTTGATACTACGTAACCGTCAGGAATTTGAAGCCAATTTGGATATTCAGAAAGTCATTGAAATTTGTAGAAATTTATACCGGGAAGACGAAGGGTCTTTTGGAGATGATAAATCACATGAAGTTGGCAACGTATTGGAGGAGCCCAATCCATTCGAGGCGTTATATAACAATCCTGGTGCTGATATGAATAATGACTTGCGTCTGGCTGTTCTCAATAAACTTGGTCCAATTGCAAAGAAACGAGAAAACCTGATGGACCGTAATCAGTTCTATGAATTAATGCAAAGTACAAATGAAAAACAAAGAGGACTTCTGATGGAAGTGATCAAACATCTTCTTTCCCCAAACGATTCACCTTTTCAAATATTTTTCACTGGTCCAGCTGGATGTGGCAAAACATTTGTCATAAAATTACTTATGGAGATATATAATCGCTATACAGATAACGATGGACACTGCAATGCTTATATCACCTGTGCTTCTACTGGAAAAGCAGCTGTTGCAATTGATGGTACCACAGTGCACACAGCTTTCAAAATATCTATTGCAGCATTGATGTCACTATCTTTTGAAACTGTTTGTCAATATCGTGCATTATTTAAATATGTCAAAGTAATCATCATTGACGAAATAAGCATGATAAGTGCTGAATCATTATCTAAAATTAACACGCGATTACAACAAATAACTGGTGATTTTAAAACATCTTTTGGATCACTAGATGTAATTTTTATTGGTGATTTACGGCAACTACCGCCAGTTCGAGCTAATGCAATTTATTTACCTATCAAAAGGACAATAATTGGGCCAACATTATGGCGAGGACTCAAATTTTATGAGTTAGATCAAGTTATGAGACAAGCAAATGTTCAATTCGCTACAATTTTAACGAAAATTGGCAACGGTGACCAACTTGAAAATGATGAAATCACTATTTTGGAATCCAGATTTTTTACTAAGTCACAAGCGGATGCACTATGTCCAAGTGGAATTCGCTTATTTCATACAAACAAGGCTGTCCAAGAATACAATAATTGTCTTTTAAATCGTGCTGAAGATAAAATCGTATCTACGGCAAAAGATGTTTTTGTGGGTTGTGCGTCAACAAACCAAGAGAATCTCTTACGAGCAAAACTTCATAAAATGTCAATCGTTGATACAGGAGGGTTGCCATATGAGACAATATTTGTTAAAAACGTACATTACATGATAACAACAAATATAGATGTATCTGATGGTTTGGCAAACGGTGCTGTAGGTAAATTGGTTCATATTGACCTCAATGAAGCAAGAGAAGTTACTGCTGTGTGGTTAGAATTTCCTATGGACATTGTCAAAAAAATTAGAAAAAAAGTCTCTGGATACGTTGCAGCAAATTCCATCAGCCGATCTGCTGTTCCAATAGGAAGGCGATCATCCACCATTCACCTTAATACAAGTAAAACCATCTGCGCCAGACGTAGTCATATACCAGTAGTTTGCTCGTCAGCCATGACAATTCATAAATCTCAAGGCAGCACATATAATGAGGTCGTTTATGAGTACAACAAAACACATGCACAATCATTATTGTACGTAGCCTTGTCGAGAGTAACGGATATCCAGGGATTGTATCTTATATCAAGCACTGATGATTTGAAATTTTATCATGGACGAAGAGCTACTGATACCACCAAGCGTCTCCGAGATGAATTTGCAAGGCTCGCTAATAATCGTTTGGAAACGATTGACAAACGGATAGTCAATTTTATGCAACAAAACAAAGGTATATCCATATATTCGTTCAATTGCCAAAGTCTTCGGGCTCATTCTAAGGATATCTTAGACATTGTACTAAAAAATGCTTCAGTACTTATGTTTTTTGAAACTTGGGACCAAGGAACGAATGATATTGAAATCCCGAATTTTCGTTGTGTTATAAAATATAAACGACCAGCGGTTCAAGCAGCAGGAGTTGCAATTTATCACAATAACAGTGATTTAGTGAATGTTGTCACTCCATCGATAGAAATGACAGTTGGGCAGTCACAATACAATAAATCAGAAGCAACGTCAGTCGGTGATTATTGTATTGCTGAATGCTTGTTATCAAATAAAAATATTATAATAATGGTTGCAATCTACATCTCCCCAAATCAGAAAATGGCTGATATCATCAAATTTATTCATAAAGCATGTTTAGTGTATAGCCATGAAGGTGCAGCTCTTTATGGTGGTGACGAAGATACATGTGCAATGGTCATGAGTGGGGATTTCAATGTTAATTTTGCATCTTCTGATTCAGCACCTCTCGTAACTTTATTGCGAGACAAATTCAGTTTGCAACTGAATAATGATCCAACAATATCGACTACTAAATCAGGCACAACAATCGATGCAGTTTTTACGCGATATATGGATAATGTTCAGTCACAAATGTACGTTTCGTATTTCAGTCATCATATGCCAATCATAACTACTATACCGATTAAGCAAAATGATAATCAATCATTAGCATAAAAAATAATAATTAAAAAAAAAAATATAAAAAATATAATTTACATTGTTTCTTTTCTTTCTTTATTATCCTCATTACCCAGTCTATCCATGCCTTTCTTTCTTTTTCACTCACTCACGTGTACCATTCAAAAGAAGTTTAACTTCCCGTGCGCGTACTGGTAACACACATACTTTTTTTGTACAATCATCGTCGTATACCCCAAATAACGTTTTCATAGCACTACCTATGATGTTTATCAGCCCTCGCCTATTCCTAATGACTGATGATATTTTCCTATCTGTGTTCACGTATCTACCTATAGATTCATACATTTAATCCCTCTGTGACGCTATTTCCATAAACATGGTTTTTACCACATGCAAAAACCGCGCACATACTTCATATTCAGATAACATGTCTTTACAATGTTGGGTCATATTATCAATTTCTATTGTCAATTGTTCATATCTATTATCATAATTAACTAATGGTACATAATGTCACAAGTTCCTAATGCGCTCCTATTATTCTCAGGTCACCTTGATTTTCGAAAAATACGGCTGTTTCATTTTTAAATTCTTCATTATAGTACGGTAGTTGACCTTGGATGATGGGAATGCAGAGCAACCTATATAAAGAATAATTAAAATAAATCATAATCGTATACAACGTTATGGTTTCCCTATATTAATATGATTAAACTCTTTGCTTATTATCCATTCTTATGTCACTCTGTTGTAATTTACTAAAGGTTGTTTAAACATGATCCACTCAAATTTCAAACTTACAAAAATATTAATCTTTAACTCTTAACTAATGGAACTCTTTTTACCTGTTGTCTTGACATCTTCTCGTGTACTTATACTTAATTCCTAAATTATATATATACCTTATTGATTACCTTGTTTACTATTAATTATAACCTTGTTTCTGATAACTCTAGTTTATCACGAGTTGAATAAGATCTAACCGTTATTGGGTTCAAATAATCAAATCGACTTCTTCCTGTTATTTTGTAATAATGACATAAATTAATTACTGCTATAATTATTGCTAATATTATTATTCCCATTATTACACATATTACATATACATACTCAAATTCTAACCCTTTTTCTCGTACTGGTTCATAGATGATAGTAGTGGTTTTTACTGATTCGCTGGACTTGGTGATTTCCTTCAGGTCATTAGCTTGGGTGGATTTCTCAAGAGTGTTGGTGGTTATGTGTGGTTTACTGACAATAGTTACATTCCTAGATTCGGTTGTTGCACTCATTGGTTTTGTTACATTTTCCTTAATTGTTTGTTGGGTAGTTATAATTGAATTAACTGTTACATTTGGGAAAAGGCTATTTATTGGTAAGGTTATTGGATATTCTGCGTCAAACACTATTTTAGTTTCCCTTATCGCTCCTTCCGGAATCCCTGCTTGACCTTGAATCACCGTACCCAATTAATCTATAATATAATTAAATTGTTATCATACTATTCGTTATATGCCAGTAGGTCTTCTGGTTCGGGGACGATGTCCAAAAATTCTAACAATGTTCTACAAAAACATTCGTTCTGTTCGATATTTTCGGTCATAGCATATAAAAATCGCGCAATACTCCTAGTATATTTCCTTATTGTGGATCTTGAAAATGGTTCGGTCAACCTTTGATTTGCTGTGCTTATATTTCTTAGCAGGCAAACGGGTAGTTTTTCTGGGTTCAATACGTTAACATGGTGGGATTCACTTCTAATAGCCTGTTCTAACTTCAGTAAAAAGTTCAGTTGTCTTTCCCTAGAATTCAATTGGCTGAATTAATTAGAGTTATTAATGAATAAAAACAAGAGGTCCAATTTTAACTAAATACGACTTTTAATAAAAATAACCAAATTATAAAATTAAAAAAAAATTTAAAATATTCCAATTATTGTCTTAATTCTGCCGCCTATTAGAATTTTCGTAGGCTTCTCGCATGGCCATCCCCATTCCTTTTGCCATGCACCTCATGGCATAGTGATTCCATGCCCCTCGGTTTATCTCCGGATTGGTCTCATAGAATTCGCGCGTTACTCGATAAGCCAGTCTTGCACCAGCTCTAAGCTCCGCTCTACTTTCTTCCCCTGTTATCGGTGGTGGCCTTATTTCTCGGTAAAAAATGGTCGCTGTGCCTATAGGTGGTCCTACAGGCGGTCTGTTGACGTAAATAATCATTCTTAATATGTATAACAAGGTATCTTACTATAATATCAATAATTTTTAATTTAATAATATTTTTTTTTTTATTATATTTAATTTAATTTATATATAAATTTTTTTTTTTTTTTTATATATTGATCTACATATTCCATTAAAATTTCTGGCTCTGGTATATACATCTTGTAATCGACCAGGTCCATGCAACATTGTTTCCCCAATCTCCCTTTCCTTTTCGATACATCATATAAAAAAGTTACAATACTTTGGGTTATCCTTCTGATTTCGCTTTCCGAAAAGGGTTCGTCTAATCGCTCGTTGGCGTTTTCTATGTGTCTTGGTAGACACCTTGGTAAATTACCACCTCCTACTGTGCTTGTGTCATGAGTTTCAACAAAATTGCATTGTCCAGATTGATACAGAACAGTTGATTTTTAGTCCTATAATTAAAATTTTGGTTAAATCTTATTTCTACCTATTACGTACTAACTATAAATCATTTTAACTGAGATTCTCATGATACTTCTTCACATCATTCTTATGTACGGTGACCTTTTTCCTTCCCCTTTAAATAACAATGTTTTCAGTATCTAATATTTCTAAAATTTCAAAAGGTCCCTTCCATAGAGGTGTTAACTTATTTCTCTGAGTGTTATCTCGTAATAATATAGAATCCTTTACATGCAACTCTTCACTATGTGCATTGCTATCGTCATTTGTTTTTGATTTGATCTTTTTCTTTATTAACCTTTCCCTTGCTATCTTGTGAGTCTCCTGCATTCTTTGTTTCAGGTCATATAAATAATCATCAGAATTGTATCTAGGTTCTGGTTTACTTTTCAAATTTACTGGAATGTTTATTTCCTTTCCATACAACAGTGTATAGGGTTGATAATTCGTGGACGAATGTTCCGTCGAATTGTAAACGAATAACGCATAAGGTAATAATTGATCCCAAGTGTTTAAATCTTTATCTACATAATGTCGAAGATATTTTGCTAAAGTTCTGTGCGATCTTTCCAAACCCCCATTGGTTTGTGGATGATACGGGCTAGTATTTATCTTATTATTTTTTAAAAGTTTGCATACTTCTGCGAATGTTTTGCTTAGAAAATCTGTCCCTTGGTCAGTTAATATGGTCTCTGGTATTCCATGAATACAAACGAAATGTACTACGAAAGCTTCAGCTACAATATTGGCTGTGTGATTCGGTAAAGGCACTCCCAGTGAATATTTGGTAAGATCATCTTGCATGGTTAAAATATAAGTATTCCCAGATGCCGTAGTGACTAATGGTCCTCCTATATCCAAAAATATCTTTTCAAATGGTTTTGAACTTGTGGTGGTTATTACCATGGGTTGTTTAATCTTCCTATTCGTAACTTTATTCTTTTGGCAGGACTCACATTTCTTAATATAATTCTTAACATCTAACTTGAGTCCTGGCCAATTAAACTGACGTTTAATCCTTTTAATGGCTTTGTTTACTCCTGCATGTCCTCCTAGCACTGAATCATGAAATTGTTTAAATATGATCATTTTCTCTGAATCCGTATATTCTAATTTTGAACAGATTAAAATTTCTATTCCTGTTAGGTGTATATATATCTTATCATAGCTCTAACCTTATCCCATTCTAAACCATCCTTTCGGCCTAGCTGTTTTATTACGAGTTTATTTAAAGAATGTTTTTCACTAAAATATTTTAAATTTAATAGAGCATTATATAGATTTTCATACGTAGTGATCTGTTTAGTTTTACTTTTGGTTATTAAGAATATTATATACCTATCTTCATGTTTAACTTTTGTTACTTCTCCTACTTGTTTGTTAGATTTCAAGATAACGGTATCCCCAAATTTCTGTTTTATCTCATAATTGATTCCTGTCCTGAAGTTATAATACTTTTCTATTTCAGTAACTATATGATATTCAGGAGATGACTCCAACAATTCACCGTGTACTTCCTTAACGTTTCCATTGGTTATCAATGTGGTTTCGAATTTTACAAGAAAATTGTTATAGCTTTCCTCCTTTATATCCTGTATAGTGAACATCCTAGATAAAGCATCTGCGTTACCGTTTTGAACTCCTGGTTTATATTTAATAACATAATCATATTGTTCTAACTGTATTCTCCATCTAACTAATTTTGATAAGGGATCCTTTAAATTGAATAACCAAGCTAATGGTCTATGGTCACTTAAGATTGTAAATTTCCTGCCATATAGATAAGGTCTAAATTGCTTAATTCCATAAACAATGGCTAAACATTCTAACTCTGTTGTGGAATAGTTGTGTTCGCTGGGACTCAAAGTTCTTGAAGCGTAAGCTATAGGCAAATCTTTTCCTATTTCCCCTTGAGATAGCATAGCTCCTAACGCTTTCCCACTAGACCTGATAAATTATCAGTAAAAACCTGAAGCGAGATCAATCACGCTGAACAATTGACATTGCCCTAAATGATTGAGTATTTCCGTAATGTTAGGTAAGGGATGGAATTCATTCAAGGTTACTTGATTTAAAGCTCGAAAGTCTATTACAATTCGAAATTTCTCTTTACCACTTGCAAAATATTTAGTTTTATTCTATTTCCAATAAATTAAATTTATTCCTAATAAATTATTACGTTATTATTTAATAATTCAATGTTCCGAACAGCTATTAAATTATTTTATTTAAACAATTAAGATTTTTTTTTTTTTATTTAAATAAATTATTTTTATTTAATGGTTATTTAATTTCAAAGTACGAATAATAAAATTATTATTTTATTTTAATTAAAGGATTGAAATTTATTTTTTAAACAAAATATTATTTTTATTTAATTATTTTTTTATTGGGTTTGAATATAATTTATTTTGGAATATTTATATTATTTAACTTATTGAAGATTTCTTTTAAAATAAACTATTATTTTTTTAAATATTAAATTAAGTCAAGTTCGAATAATTATTTTTTTGTTTTAATGGAAATTATTTAAAGAGAAAAATTAAAAACAAATTTATTGTTTTAGCTAACTATTAATTTAATTTAAGTTTCAAATAATTGTTTAAGTTATTTTAATTAAAACGTTTAGGAAAAATTAAAATAATATTATTATTTTATTTTATTTAAATTATTGAAAATTATTTAAAATAGAACTATTATTTTATTTTATTTAAATGAAAATTATTTAAAAATAAAATTCTATTTATTTTATTTAAATTTTTTTTTTTTTATTATTATTATTTAAAACGAGCCCTCGGCAGCATAGACCATTGGGCTTACATAATATTTTTAACTTAAACTAAATGTTAACAATATGGATATTGGATACGTATACGAGAGAACTTAATTTTAGATTTTGGATTGAAGGTTTGCTACTGTGATGAATTGGATGATTCCTGTTATGGCCTTGGGATGATTTTGAAGTATTTCGGAAAGGGGTTCGGGCATGTTGAGGCTTGATCGGATGTTGAGGTATGTGCGGCATTCGGTGAGTATGTGTTTAATTGTAATTTGGACGCCGCATGTTGCGCATGTTGGAGGGTCTTCCTTGGCCATTAAAAAACTGTGTGATATTTGCGAATGGCCAATTCTCAGTCTCGTTATGATGACTTCGAATTTTCTGAGTGTTTCGATGGGAAATGTCCAATTGTCAGTGTTGTGTTTTATTTGATTTAGCTTAGTGGAGTAGGATAACCATTTCTGATGCCATCTTAGATGACATTTGTTAGTTATCAGTGCTTGTATGTCCCTGTATGCGATGATATTAGTGGGAGACGATAGTGTAGAGGTGATTGCCGTTTTGGCAGCTAGGTCGGAGCGCTCGTTTACAATGATGTTGGAGTGTCCAGGGATCCAGAAAAGTTTGATTTTGAAGTTATTGATTTTCTGTAGAGTGTATATTTTGTTTTGAACATAAAGGCCGATGTCTGATGGGTTATTAGTATTATTAATGTTATTGATGGCGCTGAGGGAGTCAGTAAAGATGATGGTGTCTTGGAGATGGCGATCGGTTATTAAATCGAGGGCTTTGATTATTGCGAATGCTTCAGCTGTGAAGATTGAGCAGGAGCTAGGGAGTTTGTACATGAATTCCATGTTATTCCAAACAACTGCAGCCCCGACCCCGATTTGGCTTTTGGATGCATCCGTGTATATTTTTTCGCATTTTATGTTTTGTATTATGTGGAAATATTCTTGTTTATAGATTGAAGGCGGAGTGTCTTTTTTTTTTAATATGGAGAGTTCGGTGTTTGCTACATTGAGATTTGTCCATTGGGGTGTTAAGGGAGGTGAAATAGTTAATAAATCAGAGATGACTAGATTGTTCTCCTGGAGTAGTGTTGTTAAAATTTTGAATTTTGGATTGAAGTCGAGCGAAGGGAGAGTGTTAGCTAGCTTTAATTCGTGATTTAATGTTATTTTGAGTCTTCTTATATCGAGAGGAGGTGTACATGCTAGGTTGTAGATGCTCGGTATTGGGCTAGAGCGATAGGTACCAATAGCCATACGAAGTCCGGAGTTGTGAATTGTATCTAGTTTTTTTGTAATCGATTTATTAGCTGTTGTCCAAATGAATGATCCGTTGTCGAGTTTGGATAGTATGAGGGATTTGTAGATTGTTAACAATACATGAGTTTTAGAACCCCATGAAGTATGGGATAACATTTTTATAATATTGAGACGTGGAGTGATGGCTGATTTCAAAAAAATGATGTGATGGGTCCATGAGCATCTTTTGTCGAAAATGATACTGTTCGGTGCGTATGCCCGGTCTTGGACTTTGCCCCGCGTTATCGCCATTACTGTGGACACCGCGCGACAGTTCCGATATCTCCGGAGAGAGAAGCGTTATCGGTGTGTCGCCGACGGTCTCTTCCCCGCTGCATGCAGTCCGACGCAGTGCCTCCTGTCGCGAAGTCGCCGTTCCTGCCGCTTTTTCTCATCCGTCTTGCCAATTATCGTTTTATTGTTACCTACGCGAACTGGCGTGCCGTCGTCGTTCAATAACGCACGCCATCTTGGCTTGTCCAAGCGCCCTAGCTGTCTGTGCTTTATGTTCCGTGTCGTGCCCCTCGATTGCACACACAATCGCATTTGTGGCCGCCCGTGACAAAACCACATTGTGTTTAATTTGCCGTTATCGTCCGCGCGGTGTGTGCGCAGTGCGATCCGCCGTGTTCGTCACGTGGTTACGAGCCTTCCCGTTCGTCGACTGTTTGTTCGGCCAAGTCGACGTTGTGGTGTGTCGCCGTTGCCCGGTCAACTTCCATCTGCCCATTATCGCCGTGCCGGGACAACGGTAGCACTATCAATTGTCAATACCCGCTATGAGCTATCGTATCGTCGCTATCAGGTCGTACACAGCTGATTTCATTTGTTTATGTTCTTCCGTTACCCGACGTGGTATTATGATTTATATCAATTTGTTTTATTGTTTATGTAATTATTGTATTTTGCCGTTCGTATTGTGAACGCGCTCATATGCAACTCGATCTATTTTACTAACATAGTTTTTTAAGTTTTTTCACCTGTAGCAACGGTTTAATATACGTCCTATTTATTTTATAATTTTCATACAACAACAACGATATTGTTATATCTCTCGCTGTAGTTTTCCGTCATCCATTTTCCTATTTACCTACCTATTACAGTCCACTACCATCGCACGACAATTAACATAATCCGGGAGCGGGCAATACCTGACGATCATATTTAATTCAGGTTGTCCCTCCATACAGATACCGAGTATTTTGATTGTATTATTATTTATTGATAGATGGTCGCCCAATTTTATCTTAATTGGATTTTGAGACCGTTTACGTGTAAAGACGATGCATTGAGATTTTTCGGGAGAGAAGGTAAAGCCAGATGTTTGTGTCCATTTGTGTAGGTTGTTGATGGCTTTTTGAAGATGGCATTGGACAGTGGCTAGCGATTTGCTCCGGCAATAAATATTAAAGTCATCCGCGTAGAGGGTAGATTTGACAGGGAAGGATATGTTTTGAGTGATATTGTTGATGGCTATCAGAAAAAGAGTAACCGAAATTGTTGATCCTTGAGGAATTCCGTTGACTTGTTCGAAAACTTTGGAAAGTGAATTTTTGATTCTAATTTGGAATGTTCTTGTTTTTAGGAAATTCCTGATGAAATTGAACATTTGATTTTGGCTAAGTACTTTGGAGAGACTAGTCAAAATGTGAGGTTTCCATGTGATATCGTAGGCTTTCCTCAAATCTAAGCTAATCATACCTAGATATTGATTTTCGGAGTATGTGTTTCTGATAGACAGTTGTTTGTACCTTTATTTTTCCGAAATCCACATTGTTCAGAAGTGAAATAGGAGGACAGTTCTAGGAACCATATTAGACGTTGATTTACGATTTTCTCTAAGAGTTTACATAGTGTATTTAAGAGAGAGATAGGACGGTATCCTTCAGGTGAAAATTTATTTTTCCCTGGTTTACTTATAGGGATCACAATGCTGTTTCTCCAACTTTGAGGAAAAACGTTGTGGTTCCAGATGTAGTTGTAGATTTTTAGGAGTATTTGGCGTGTATTAATGTTAAAGTTTTGAACAAAAATATAAGGGATATACCTAACCTGTGCTTTTGCTAGTGCATCTTTTAAGGGTTTTCAGTATTTCTTCCATTGTTATTGGTCTGTTTAAGTATGACTGATGTGTGTTTTGAGGTGATATTGACGAGGGTTGGGGAGGAGGTTTGTTTACATTCTCCCGTAAGAAGTCGCGGCTGTACATTTCATTACTGGAGTTTTTTTCGAAGTTTAGACCTAAGTGGTGGGCGATTGAAGATGAATCGGTGTTTACCGATATATTGGAACGGATTTTGTTCCACATTATGTGGGGGTCGACTTGGGCTCCGATGTTGGCAGTGAAGTTTCGCCATGTTATAGTTTTATTGCTTTTGACTAAGAATCTTGTTTTAGCTCTGAGTTCTTTTAAATTTATATGGTCGTCCGATGATCTGGTTTTGATGAATGTTTTAAGAGCTTTATTTTTAAGGGCTATATATTTTTTAATTTCATTGATCCACCAGGGGACTTGTGGATTTTTGGAGCGATGATTTATGTAGCCGATTGTTTGTTCTGCTGCCTCTATAATGTTCTCTGTGAATTTGGTAACTGTTTTATCGATATTTATATCTTCATCAGAACATTTTGTAGACTTGATTTTCATTTCGAGTAGGTTTGAGATAAGGATCCAGTCGGGGATTTTGAGGTTCCATTTTGTTGTGGGATGGCACGTTTGTGGTGAGTTGGAAATTAATTGAATTGAGATAGGAAGGTGGTCACTATTGTATATTTCACTAAGTACTTGCCAGTGGAGTCTTTGAGCTATGGAGGGAGTGGAGAACGTTAAGTCGATAGCTGAGAGGGTTCTATTAGAGGGATTTATTCTGAATTGCTCGTTGTTATTGAGAATTACGATGTTATCTTGTTCTAATAATTTGTCTATGATTTTTCCTCTTGTATCAGTTTTGTATGATCCCCATATATGGCTGTGGCTGTTGAAGTCCCCTACGATGATGAAAGGTCTTGGTAGCTGCTTAATAATATTTTCTAAATCAGAGAGTGTGAAGTTGAATTGATTTGGGATGTAGATATTACAGAGGGAGATTTTTGTTTCGAGTGTGATTGATATTGCAACTGCTTCTATGTTTGAATTGATAGGGATTTCCTCCCAGGGGAATGAGTCGTTTATAAGGATGCACACACCACCACTTGCCCTCAGGCAGTCTCTGCGATTTTTTTTTGCGTATTGGTAGTTTTTAATTATAGGAGGAGATTCGTCATATTTTAGGTTGGTTTCTTGGAGACATATTGCAATTGGTTGATGTAGATTGATTATTAGTTTGATTTCATCGATATATTTGTGTAGTCCGTTGAGGTTCCATTGAATAATATTTTTATGTTGTGACTGCATTTAAATACTAAGGTTTGTGTTTGATTTGAGATATTTATATTTATTAAGATTTGATTGGTTCAGTTGCTAGGGCTTTATCGAGAAGCGTGCTGCAAAGTCTTGTGAGCCTGTTTTTTATGCTTTGTTTTTTTAATTTGGGTCGGATGTTTTCGATGACTTCGATTATTTCGAATTCAGTTATGTTGAACTGTTCTAATGTCGGGGTTCGGTCGGCACTACTAAGGGTGTTTTCAATAATGTACTTGAACTGATCGTAATTTATTTTCATGCCTGGTTAGGTTAGGTTAGGTTAAGTAGGTTTTTACGGGATCAAATATTTCGTCGAGCTTTAAGATTATTTGTTCTAAGGAATTGGTGCGTTTTATTTTTTTAGGTTTTGGTTGAGGTGTTTTTTTTGTTTTTTCGTTTGGAGTGATATTTTCGTTTGAGACAATGACTTGTGACGAAGGTTTAGGGGAAGAACAGTTAGTGGTTATACTTGATGATGTAGAGGAGAGTGCAGATCTTTTTTTTGATTTAGTTGTGGGTATAAGAGTACTATGTTCTTGTGTTGATTCACTAATTATTTGGTCGTCGAGGAGAGATGTTTGAATTGAGTTTTGCGCTTTGGATGTATCAGAGGGACCCTTTGTGTTTTCGGAAGGGATATCTATTGACGGTACGATATGTCCTGATTTCTCTTCTGTGGTGTTTGTGTTGATTGTAGTGTTGTTAAGGTCTGATGATTCATATAACATAGCGTTTGGAGGATCTGGTGTAGAATTTTTACACAGCTTTGAGGTGTGTCCGGTGAGTTTGCATTTGTAGCAAGTGAGGGTGTCGTCAGTGAGAAAAATTCTGTGAAGTTCGTTTTCAGCCTTGATCAGTAAGGATTTTGGTATTTTATGAAAATCATCGTGGTTTATATAAACTTGAAGTCTGAAGCTTAAGATATGTGCTACATCTTTTATGTTGAATCCAGCGTTAATGTGTTTTATCGGTGATAGGAGTTGGATATTGCGATTTCGTAGTTCAACTATAATTTTATCGTTAGGAATAGCGGGTGATACATTTGAGATAATAATTCTTTTGGTTGGGTTTACTAATCGTCTGATTTTTATAGATGTGAGATCATTTGGTTTAATAATACGATGATTTTTGATTGGAAGATCAACAGTGTTTTTTGAAATAAACACAAAAACGGTTGTTTGACATTCTAGAGACGAATTTAATATTTTTCGGTGGAATTATTTTGCTGTTGGCTATGACATATTCGATTTGTGGTATGTTATCGATAGATTCGAAGATGATTGCCTGTTCTTTTTTAGGTGTATTAACTTTGAGAGTGGTCTCAGCGAACGTTTTTTTTTAAAAAAGTTGTTGCGAAAGTTGTTTTTATTGGTTTCGGAGGTGTAGTTTTGAATTGATGGCGATTTTTCATTTGGATCGCTCTGTATATGATTGGTTACATCGGTGAAAACAACATTGGCGTTATTTTGGTCGGATGGCTTGAATGTGAGGTAATTAGTGACGTTAACTGTGTTTGATGTGTCAGTCGGCGGCGATATATTAGTGTCCTTATCTTCGGTGGAGATGGTAGTAACGGAGATACAAGATGGATCATTAGGTTTGTGTGTTTAATTTTTTTTTGAATTTAAAAGTTTGTCTATAAGGTTTGAGGGGTTATTAGGTGTGTCACCCATTTTGGTGTAAATATTTCTATTAAGCGGGTGAATATAAGAAAGTGTCAGTTTTATGATAATTGTTCATATTACCTGATGATCTTACGTAATTATTCTGAATGCATACGAGATCTAAAAATACGAGAGCGCGGTAGAAGCGATTAACGTGTTGCTCGGTCGAAAGTGCACACGTAACTGTTAATTTAAATTATTGAAATGACTAAAACTGTTATTTTATTTATTTAATGATTGTAGAATTATTTTTAAATTCAATTCTATTTTCTATTTTATTCAAATGATTGAAATTTATTTTAAAATTTAATTATTATTTTTAACTTATTTAAATGATTGAAAAAATATCCTACGAAATTAAATTATTATTTATTATATTTAAAAAAGTTTATTAACTCGCGACGTTATTGTAAAAAAAATTTATTACCCTATTCAATGTTATTTAATTTTTAAAAATAAATTTCAAACAACTATTAAATTATTTTATTTAAATATTATTTAATTAAAAGTGTTGAAGAATTTTTTAAAGTTACAATATATTATTATTTTTATTATTATTTATTTAAACAATTTAAAAAAAAATTATTTTAAATTAAAACTTTAGTTTATTCTATTATTATTTTATTATTTTACTAGATTCTTTGGTTTGTCATCCCGCCTGCGGCGGAAAGACTGTGTGGGCGGTGGTGCATCTTTGTCGGCGATGCTGGGTTTTTTGATCAGGCCTGGGGCGGGAATGGGGGACGTCGGGTATTGTCTTTTGTCGTGTTGGCAGCACTGGTTCAGCGGTAATTTTTGAACTCGGAAGAGTGTCTAGTCATAAGTCACGCGATTCAAGTCGATCGTACAACACAGGTCCATGTCCCCGGCACCCCCCATTGCGATTTTTGGGTCCAAACCCGGGGCGATCGTTTGTGCTTCGTTAGTGCACGTTAGTGCTTTTTATCCCGTCGTTAGTGCTTTATCCGATCCAAAGTTATTCGCATTTCGTTCAGGGGGGTGCTGGAGACATGCCTGCACCCCCCATTTCGAATTTCGGGCCCAAACCCAGGGCGATCGTTTGTGCTTCGTTAGTGCACGTTAGTGCTTTTTATCCCGTCGTTAGTGCTTTATCCGATTAAAAGTTATTCGCATTTCGTACAGAGGGGTGCTGGAGACATGCCTGCACCCCCCATTTCGAATTTCGGGCCCAAACAAATTTCATTCGTTTGTGCTTCGTTAGTGCACGTTAGTGCTTCTTATCCCGTCGTTAGTGCTCCATCCCTTAAATTGTATTTGAATTTCCTACAGGGGGTTCTAAGGACATGCTAATTTAGATTTCGAATTTTGGGTCCAAAAATCTTTTATTCGTTTATGCTTCGTTAGTCCTTCAGTGTGTTATTCATCCGGTCGTTAGTGCTCTACTCCTTCAAAAGTTATTGGCATTTCGTACGGGGGGGGGGGGGGGTACTAGTGACGTACTAATTCGAGTCCAGTCCCAAAAGTTTTGTCTTGAAAAATAATATTAATGATAACATTGAGTATAATATATTGTTGTACAATATAGGTACGTATACTCAATGATAAGTGCCGGCTCTATGGGAGGACAAATGGGACATATGTTCAGTGCCCCTCGCTTTCTAGTTTCTAACGAGCCCCGCGATTTTTAATATCATCTTAATACCGTGAAACACATTGACATTTTATATTAACAAATTATAAATCTATACATTTGTTGTACTATACTGCACATGTATAATATATTAATATTAATATTATTTCTATCATTAACTATTTGGAAAATGATATCTAAATTTAGCCATAGTACAAAGTAAATCGTTATCGATACGACAAAGGAGTAATATTTTGAAGATACTCGAGGACTGTAAGAGTAATGAGTAACCTAACCATAATTATAATTATAAATATTTATTATATTTATAGTTATTGTTTTTCTGTTCTTTGTTTGGAAAATCTTTCCGCGTATTGTCGTATGACCGTATTACAGAAGCGGCAAGAGCTATATTCTTAAAATATTTATTTGATTATCTAGTATTATATGTTCGACATTTGAGTATTTGACTGCAGTCCGCTTTTCCCCTTAGAGTATTTTTTCAACGATTTCTGCATAATATCATAACAGTAAGTTTTCATTTTATGAAATTATTATTACAATTCAGTTTAGATACAGTATAGCAGTATTAAATAATAATATTTACCTACTGCTTGCGTATCTAGTGTATCAGGATTAGTTTTAACATATTTTATTGTCTACCACCGCGTACTTAGATATTAAACAATTTATTGTATCATTCAAACATTTTGATGATTTCATTTATTTTTAATTGATGTTTTGTGATTATTAAAATAAATATAAATTAATAAAATAATAAGTCCCCCACGAATTTATTAAATTATAATTTTCAACACATGTATATTATTTTATTATTTGTAAATAATTTTTTGTTAATACATTTTAATAAAAAAAAAAAAGGGATATGAATAATCTGATATTATTATTTTTAATGTTTAAAATTCAAATAAAAATAGCATTAATTTAAAAAAAGCTAGAATTTTGCCCTCTATTACCTATGTCCAGGGCCCTGCAATACCCAGCGCCGGCACTGACAATGATGATAGGTATAAGAGTATAGATATATTTTTTTTAAGTCCGGGAGAAAATTTAATATTTTTTACGTACCTACCTATTTAATGTATGATAATATTGTTGTATATATAACGAAATTATAAAATATTAAAATAACATACGAAGCAGAAAGTCAATCAAACCGAGTCAGCAAAATTGCCACGACTACTTAGGCGACGTCTGCGACGGAAGCGGGGCTGTTGTTTTGTTTGTTTCGATTATTGTAGTAGCCAACGAGCCGCAGTATTTTTACGTTTCTTTTTATTATTTGTTTTTGATATATTTTATTATATTTAATTCTTTTTTTTAAAAACCAAGTGTCACTGTTTTTCTTTACGCCTTTTTTTAGAATATTTTATCTTACGAGTTGATACAGAGACGTTGTGGTGAATAACACTTTTAAAAACAGGTAGTAAGACACTGTGGTACTTACTTTCTCGTCCAGTACTCGTTATCGTGGTCAGTCGAGAACATGGGCGGATAGGCCTACCAAGAAACCGGGAATTTCCCGGTGGGCCCCCCTTCGTATTTCGGTAATGGGGCCCTTTAATAAAATGCAATTACCTACGATAGAAATAATTTGAAATATCAAATTAAATATTATAATCTTATATCAGTTATATCTCATATACATTACTATCTGTGGTCTTTTTCAAAACATTTCTTATCGGCCCGCAGCCGCCGCGCTCTCAAAACTACAACGTCGGTTAATGGTTGGCGGCGGGTAGTGGGTCACGGTTGAAACTGGTAACTGGTGAAGTGGGTAATCACTCACAAATCGGTTGTTGTAGATACTATTTTTAGAATAATCTAAACTAAACATTGGACTTTTTCAATGCTGTCGTGTATTTGTGTGCGGTAATATAATGTAATATTTACTATTTTACCGATATCTTATCACAAACAAATTGTAGAATTATAATTATTATATACTTATTGCACAATTGCAGACATAACGTTTCTACTAACTCGCGGTTAATCGTTAGTCATTTTTCTTGATAGTTTAAGTTATATAGTGGATCAGTATTCAGTGTTATATATTATATTCCTTAGTTCTTACACATTGCATAGTAGGTACATACAGACATACAGTTAAAACAGACGTTTACGTGCTGTTTTATTTTTTTCAATGGGCAATTCCAAAAAATTACATAAAAGCGGAAGTGCTAAACGAAAAAAAAAAGGAGAAAGAGTTGCTTAGAAAGGAAGGTCAAAACCCTAATCAAAAAAAATTAAATTTTGTAAAATCAAGTAAGTACTCACATTGGTTATATTATATATTAACTAAAATTACACTATATTTTATATAGATATCTTAATATCGTTATTACATTTGACAGGTAGCAATTAGCAGTATAAAATAAGTAGGGTTTGTCAAATAAATATAGGTAATTAAAATATTTAAGACACAATTTGTGTTCTGAATGGACTGAATGTGTCTATTATATTTATAATTTTTAACATTATTTGAAGTATAAAAACTTAACTTAAACACTTGTATAATTAGATGTACTTAATTGATAATTGATGTTGTTATAATATATTTATATTATAGATATATTATGCATTTTTTATATGCTAATATAACAGACAATTTTTCAAATCATACTAAGCTAGAAGGTAAATTGATGCATTAATTGTATTGTATTTAATTTTGGAATAATGTTAAGACTTCAGAATTAGTTTAATTAAAAAACAAAATTATAATAATATAAAACATTAGATATATTATGTTTTAACTGAATAATTTTATAAATATACTTTCCACTTTTCATCTTTAGGTGACAATAATTTGAAAAAATGTAGCAGTAGTGTAATTGAAAATGAAAGAGAAAATCTGAATAGTGATAATGGTAATTTCTAGTTATTTTTCTATACTTATTTACCTAAACTATTTTAAAAATGAAAACTTCCCTTTCTAGATGTCAATTCTTCAAAACAAGATATTAAAGATATTGAAAATGTTGATACCATGGCAATAGTTGAAAACGAGGTTGAAACCTGTTCAAATATTGATAATGGTACCTATATAATATTATATAACTAATTTTTAATTATATAAATCTAATTTCCAATTATCATCTGTAGGTGACAGTAATTTGAAAAAATATAACAGTACTGCTATTGAAAATGAAAGAGAAAATCTGAATAGTGATAATGGTAATTCCTAGTTAACTTTTTTACCTAAACTATTTTAAAAACTAAAACTACTTTCTAGATGTCAATGCTTCAAAACAAGACAATGAAAAAAATCAAGTTAATACAATTGAAAATGTTGATACCATGGAAATAGTTGAAACCTGTTCAAATATTGATAAAGGTACCAGTAGTATATATATACCAGTCCTGGCACACCTCATAATATATCAGTAAAAGATCACAAAGAAAACAATGTGCAAAAAGATCAGACAATTGAAATGCAATAATAATTAATAAAATTTTTCACAAAACTTATGAAATGCAATAATAATAAAAATATTTTCCGCAAAACTTAATTATTAAAAATAAAAATCGAAATGCAATAATAATAAAAACATTTTTCGCAAAACTTATTAAATACACCCAAAATATTTTTCATAATACTTATGATATTAATAATTAAAATCGAAATGTAATATAGTGTATTAAAAAATATTTTTAAAGAAATTGAATACCTTAGTTAAAGGAATTGATATTTATAATAAAAGAATGGAATCTATAAACAATCATAATAAGTTACAAGAAACCGAAATGCAAAACGAAGTAGAAAACTATATATTAAATAAAAAAATAAAAAAATGTTATGTGAAATTTTGTGCTTTTGAATATTATAAAAATAATGAAAATATAATAAAATATAATCTTAATGAAATTCCAATTAAAGGAAAAATTTTAATCATCGAGAACCATTTAGAACCAACTTATGTTTATGTTTCTAAATGTCTACGATCACCAACTTGGTTAGAACTTTGTAAAATAGCTAATGATCAAATAATTGCAAACAGTACAAATTCATTCGAATATCTCTATAATATTAGTGTTATGAAAACTTTAGGAGATATTAAAATATGTTCTTTTGGTATGACAATACGTAGAATATAATTATATTATTAATTAAATTTTTTAATAGAATTGTTCTATTAAAAAAATGTTCAATATTTAACGCTCACCCGAATAGGGGACGCGTTATTAAAATCCAAAAATTTTTGAAAACGATTTTACACTATGATACTATGAGGGGGACTTATAAAGAATTAAAATTAAAAATGTTTAATGTAAAAATGAAGATTCTAACATAAAAAGCAACGGAGTTATACTTAAATGAAAAATATAAAGCGGGGGGTAAACTTTTAATATGTAGTGTAGATAAGCATATAAAATATACCGTAAAATGGGGTGAATTGCAACAGTTTTTGAGTTCTACCCAACTTTGATCTTCATTTAAAAATCAGGCATTTATACTATTGTTAAGGAAAACACTTTTTTAGAATTGCTGTAACCTTTTTCATCATTATAAGTATAATTCAAAAATATAACTTATAAAGTTTTTTTATAATATATTTTTATTTGACTTTGTTGCAATTCACCTTTGAATGGGGTGAATTGAAACATTGCATTAAAAATCATGTTTTATTCATTTAATACAATTTATGGGTGAATTGAAACACTACATACATTTTTTTTTTAAAAATAGGCAATTTTTTGAATTTATTGATATAATTTTCAATTTTTTCTGATTATTATAGGCAAAATAATAAATATCTCAAGTTTTAGTAACATAAAAATATAACAAACTTTGACAAATTTCAGTCTTTGAAATCACTTTATTATTTCATAAATTTATATAAAAGTGTATCTCCTAATTACCATATAGTAAGTAATATAACAAAATTACATTTTTTATTAATATCTTATAAAATAAAAAAACAAATGAGCAAGTAAGTAATAAAGCAAAATTATATTTTAACATAATATAACAAATTTCAGTCTTTGAAATAGAAAAGGTAGGTAATATCTTATAAAATAAAAAAAATAAATGAGCAACTAAGTAATAAAGCAAAATTATATGTTAACATAATATAACAAATTCAACAAATTTAACAAATTTCAGTCTTTGAAATTAAAAAGGTGATAAAATAAAAGAACAAATGAGCATGTAAGTAAATAGTATAACAAAATTACAATTTTTTTACAATAACCTTAAAAAATAACATTAAATTTATGAATGCCTCTTTTTATAGCAGGAGGATCTAGTTTCCCAATTATTTGGTCATACATAAATTCATATAAATCAGGGACTTGTGGATAAACAAATAGCATAAAATCTGAATCTTTTTTGAGAGAAGGTTTTTTTCTCAAAAATTCCCTTTCAAATTCAATGACACCAATTTTACTTACCTTACAAATATACATATCTGAATGGTACTGAACCAACAACCAATCACCAACATTAATGTCTGATATGTCTATGTCATATATATTTTGAACAATTTTAATTGAATTATTAATCTCTACATACTTAACATTTGGAGCAATTGTTACTAGAATTGTTTGATCATTACTATCTGGACTATTTATTTCATCAGGATCAATATTATCTTGAGTATCTGGACTATTTATTTCATCAGGATCAGTATTATCTTGAGTATCGGTACTCATTTCATCAACATTCATAATATCTGGAGTGTTCTCTTTGGAGTGTTGAGTAATGGACATTATAGTTTTCAGCAGCTTTCCTTAGAGAAATTCCATTTTTAACTTCAGTAGCAGCAGCATTTAAATCATCTTCATTTCTTTTTCTATACTGTTTCCCTCTGGGATCAGAAATATATACTCTGGGCATCTGAAAAAAAAATGTATTTTAAAAGTAGGTTCATGAAAGTGTAAAACAACACATTTTTGGTACTATTTATGTTTTTGTTGCAAATCACCCCATTTTTGGTTAACTACTAAAAATGTATGATTCCAAAATTTATAATTAATTGAAAAATGTACTTACGTTGTTGTATTGTAAATTTTTTATAAATTTACAAAATTTTCTATTCAGAAAAAAAAAAATTACTGTGATAGTGACATTTTAACAATATCAACTGAACTAGGATTTTGGCGGTTATAAAATGAGTAAATTGATAAGCGCGAAGGAAATATTTTGCTGTGGAAGTAGAAATAATCCGATAACAATAATTTTTTTTCCAATAGATAACATTTATCACAAAGAATTTAATTCTTATTTTTTCATAGTGATAACACTTAAATTGAATATTCGTCATCAATAATAAACAAATAACTGAAGACTTGTTGCAATTCACCTTGCAGTTGCAATTCACCCCGTTTTACGGTATCTGTGTTCATCCGACTTGATAATATCAAATATTAAATGAAATATAGGATTTATACGACCGTATTATTTTTAATAATTTTGATGGAAAAAACGGAAAAAAATGCAAAAAATTTACAAAATCATTCCCAGCTTTTCAGATACCCGTTAGGAAAAAAGGAGGCCGGAACTCTTTTACAGATATCTGCAAAGCTATCGTGGGCAGTGAAGTTACCCAAGTGCTTTATTCAGCAGGTCAACAACAGTTTTTCAGTAGATTGCATAGGTGTGTGCACCCACCTATACAATCTACCGTAAACGTCTTCAAAGCCTGACGAAATTAGTAGGTGAATATGCAGCGCTACACATTCCCCCACTAGTTTCAATCCGACCAAGAACACATTTAAATCAAACGCCTTAACCACTGAGCTACAACACCTGGGCTTGTATAATGATTATTTAAACACTATTTAAATAATTCGATAAAAAAACATCATAATATAACTATACATATATATTATGATAAGGTATTCAATACCGGATGTTAAAAAAATAATCAGTACAACGTTGATATATATATATTATTATTATTATTATACCACACTGTATAGGTACTATAATATTATATATAATACTTCGTAAGTATTATATTCGATTTAAATTTTCGATGTTTAAAAAATTTTATTTTTTTATAATAAATAATAGTAATGGAAAATAAAAATCAAATTAATGAATTATCTTTGCCAAAAACTATAAAAAAAACGATAGATGCTAATAATGTAAAAAACGAATTTGGTCCATATGAAGTCAAGCATAAAATTTACAAACATGAGCAAAATAAAGCGGAATCGTTTCGCAAATCATGTGTAATATTCAATAAATTTAATAAAATATTACAAATAAAGTACAATAATCAAGAAAATACTTTTACATTGGAAGAAATGGAAGACATAATACCGATACGAGCAATGTATTATTGCAGTCATGATTGGAATCAAGGTGCAATATCTGAATTTATTGATTTTCGAAAAAACTGGAAATTTCCTATTTTGTATTCTCAAGTTCGTGGTGATTATATTCCAACTTGGGATCAATGGGAATGTTTTGGTATGATAAAGTCTGAAATTACAATATCCCAATTTATTAAAAATTTTAATGATGATTTTAAGGACACACTTGGTTTTTTTTTCTATAATTACATAGATAATAAAGATAAATTATGGTTATCAATTGATATAATTTCGAGTTGTCATTTTATAAAATATACATAAGGTCTAACTCCTCAAAACGATGATACAGATGAAGAATATGAATGTGTAAATATTAATTGTGAAATAAAAATTGCTAATAAAATAAAAATAATCGAAGATGTTAAAAAACAATGTTAACGTAAAAAACAACGTCAACGTTTACCTATAGTTTGTATAGGTACTATAATATATAAATATATAATACTTCATAAGTATTATATTCGATTTAAATTTTCAAAGTTTAAAAAATAATCATTCTAGCTGCATATTATTATTATTATTATTATTATTCGAATCATGTAATTCCTCTTGTATTAATTTACGTAGTTCGTTTATTGAAAGTTTAATTTCATTATAATTTTTGTTTTTAATAAAACTTAAAATATTTTCGAAACAACAATTACTAATGAAACGGAAGTTAAATGATTTTAATTGATTATGTTTTTTGTAATAAACATATTTTGCAATATTTTCGTAACAACAATTATCCAATATTTGATTCCATAATATATTATTAATTTCAGAATCAATATCAATATCAATATCACTATCATTAAATATAGGTCTTAGGATTTTACGTTGTTGTTCAATCATATTTAAAAGTGTTTTGATATTTTCCATTTCTATTATTTATATTAGTAAATATTTTTTTTTTTAACATCGAATTATTAAAACATACATCAAAGTGTATGATTATTAAAAAAACCGGACTCACACGATTCATGAGGCAGACAGACAGACGGACGTTCAATGTTATTATGTCTGTCTGTCTGTCTGTCTGTCTGTCTGTCTGTATGTCTGTCTGTCCGTCTATATGTCTGTCTGTCTGTCCGTACGTCTGTCTGTCTGTCTGTAAAGATTAACATTGTTATGTTTTTTAGAAATAAATATAATTTAAATATGCGATTAAAAAAAAATACATCTCTATTATAATAAATAATAGAAATGGAAAATTTGAAAACACTTTTAAATAATTGCAACGATCAATATGATTTTGTAAAGTATGTGACTTAGAAAAAGGAAAAAAATATGAGGTTACTCGTTTCAAATATATTGATACAATTTATGGTAAGACAATAGTTGTTATATTAGATAAAAAATTGCAAGTATTTTTACCAGATAGATTTTTAGATGTGTTTACAAAAGAAAATATTTCATTATATAATCTATGTTCGAAAAAATGTAATCTTGTTTATAATGAATTACAAAATTTAGATAATGAAAGCACAAAGCAATTGATACAATTTGAATAAAATAATATTATATAATTATAATAAATATATATAATTACTTTTATAAATGGTATTAAAGAATTAATTCATCTTGAACAAAATTTAAAAAATCAAATTTATCACATTCTGAAAAAAGGTAAATAATTTGAGAAAAGATGAATATGAAGATGAAGATGAAGATGATGAAAAAAAAATTACAAGAAAAAGAATATTCACTAGCAAACATAGAAAAAATAATTAGTATTAAAAAAAATTTAAAAAGTAACTATAGAAAAAGAGTTATAGACGATATACATTCAGCTGAAGATAAAGTAAAACAATTTGGACCAATATTAGAAGGTTTATCAAAAGTTGAATCATCTGTTAATGGTGTTAAAGAGGTTGCAATTGAAACTGATAATGATATTAAAAAATGTTAATACCTACAACTCCTTATAAACCTCGTAATCCAGAGCTATTACGAATATTAAGTACAGAGGATTATGAAAATATTCAAACACCTAAAAGTTCTCCGATAAAATTAAAAAATTCATCTCCTTTGCCTCCTGATACAATATTAGGTAAAAATTCTAGTATAGCTCTAGCATCTTTAACTGAACATAATTCATTTGGAATACATTTTAATAAAAAAACTAAACAACATTCGATCGGAAAAGAAATAATAACATTTAATTTAGATAATATAATATTAAAAGGTAAAGAACGTGAAATAACTCCAGGTATGTGGAGTCTATTAACTCAATCAGATGTTCCAAAACAAGATGAATATAATAAAGATGATTTAGAAAAATATACACAAATATTACTTGAGACAGATGCAATATACAAAAATTTTGATAAAAATACAAATAGTGTTAGATCAAGTGGAGGTAACAAATATATAAAATTGATTAGTCCTATTTGGAAAAAAATTTAAATAGAAAAAAAAAACACCAACAACACCAACAGAAAATTTAAATTCTACAATACCAGATTTTCCTACAATACCAACAACAGAAATTTTAAAACCACCAAAACCAACAACAGAAATTTTAAAACCTACAAAAGCAACAGAAATTTTAAAACCTACAAAAACAACAGAGAATAAAGGAGCTGGTTTAATGAATTATACAAATAATGAAATTGAATATTGTTGGATAGATAATATGAAACAATTAAATGAAAGATTACATTTAATAGCAGCTGAACAAAAAGCAGGAAATTATACTTATCATAATGAACTACATGGGATTCTTAAATTATTTAAAACAAAAATGGAACATTTAATAGATGATCCTAAAGGTATTGAATATTTACTACAATATGTGATAAATTTACCAAAAGAAATAACAAATGATATACATATACAAAAATTAAGAGAACAAATATATTATATATCTAGTGAAGAAAGAGTAGGAAATAATTATTTTCATAATAAAAAACTTGAAATACTTAATTTTTGTATTAAAATAATGGAAAAAGGAATTGATATTCCCGATAAAGGTCCGATATATTTATGGTCATTTATTTCAAGTTTACCAAAGAAAATTATAAAAGGTGCAGGCTTTTTTAATGATTTTTTGAATTGTAAATATTTACCTCCGATGCATTATCTTAAATATAAATATTTAGGACCATTTACAGATTTAGAGAAAAATTAAGAACAAAATATACAACCAATCAACAAATTAGACGAAGCTGCAAGAGAACACGATTATTTTTATAAAAATCATAAAGATATTAAATCAAGACATATTGCTGATAAAGTTTTACAACAAAAAGCATTGGAAAGATATAATGATCCTGATAGTCCTATATCTGAAAAAATTCCGGCTATAATAATTGCATATGCAATGAAAGGAAAAATACGTTTAGGAATGAATTTGATATATGAATAAATTTTATAATATTTTGTATTATAAAATGACGTACTATTTT